GAAGGAGTGGCTTTACAACAACTCTGTGACTGTTCTTGAATGGCCCAGCCAGAGCCCTGACTTAAACCCCATTGAGCATCTCTGGAGAGACCTGAAAATGGCTGTCCACCAACGTTTACCATCCAACCTGACAGAACTGGAGAGGATCTGCAAGGAGGAATGGCAGAGGATCCCCAAATGCAGGTGTGAAAAACTTGTTGCATCATTCCCAAAAAGACTCATGGCTGTATTAGCTCAAAAGGGTGCTTCTACTAAATATTGAGCAAAGGGTCTGAATACTTATGACGTGATATTTCAGTTTTTCTTTTTTAATAAATCTGCAAAAAATGTCAAACATTCTGTGTTTTTCTGTCAATATGGGGTGCTGTGTGTACATTAATGAGGGAAAAAAATGAACTTAAATGATTTTAGCATATGGCTGCAATATAACAGAGTGAAAAATTTAAGGGGGTATGAATACTTTCCGTACCCACTGTAATCCAATATAAATTTGCTTATACCTAGTACATTCAAATTCTCCCATTCAAATGAATGGGAAAGTCTTGGAAAAACCTTGACCTCTTTGAACATTGTTTCCGGCATATTTTAGGCTAGAAACGCCATTTCAACTGTATTCAACTCGTGACAAATTTATCTACTGATGGTGCAAGAATCTTCTATGGTTTTTGTATACTCGCCATTTATATTTTGTGTACTTCTCCATTCAGTTTGAATGGCTCCATTGACTTGAATAGGCACACTCTGCATCACGTGACCCCCCCGTTCTAGCTTGCCTGTCTGTTTTTCCAACTACTCCTTGTTTTTCTGCTTCTATTATGCTATCCTTAAATTTTATACACATATAATAGATGAAAATCATAGAGAAAATTGTCAACAATCTATCTATACCATTGTTATTGTGATGGGATGAACGGTATTTGTGTAATTTTGCAGATTCCAGAGAGAGTGCCGTCTCACTGTTCCCTCACTGTGGGTGCGCTCACAGCAGAGAACTCAGTCTGCTGACTATTTTTTACAAGTTAATCCTTTTATTGAAATACAATGGACTTTTCTGAACAAGTCTGGCAAAAGGATTATATCAGAACCGAACTGTTGCGAGGTTGCTCACTGCTGCTCACAGTGAAGAGATTTTTTCGAAAGGACTTTGTTGAGCAGGACTTTTTGAATACGATGACAACACGGCTGTTCTTCCAAACACAGAGAACTTGCTCTGCTAGACAGCAGCTTAATGTCTTTTTTCCAAACACGTTGGACTTTCAAAGAACTTGCTCTGCTAGACAGGAGCTTAATGCCTTTTTTTCCCAAACACGTTGGACTTTCAGAGAACTTGCTCTGCTATACAGCAGCTTAATGCCTTTTTTTCCAAACACATTGGAATTTTGTAATCAAGCGTGAACGAAGAAGGATTATATCAGGTGGGGGGCGAGTGGGGAATTGTATATATACACAGTATTGTTCAAAATAATAGCAGTACAATTTTACTAACCAGAATAATCCAGGTTTTTAGTGTATTTTTTATTGCTACATGGCAAACAAGTTACCAGTAGGTGCAGTAGATTCTCAGAAAGCAAACAAGACCCAGCATTCATGATATGCACGCTCTTAAGGCTGTGCAATTGGGCAATTAGTTGAAAGGGGTGTGTT